CAGGATATATCTCACACTTGAGATTTTATTCATGATTTACTGAAAAATATCTATGAACACCCACAATTATGAGTGTTACAGAAACCTGGTCTCCAGAGCTCTGAAGCTAAGATTCACCAATGCGCTCCATGCGGTTCTCAAATCCCCTGAAATGACTGCATTTTTCTGGATAGGCTGCCATGGTGTTCATTAATCTCAAATGGTAATAATCGGTAATGGAATAAAACCATATGCCATGCAGTAAAAACTCCAAAAACCAGGGAAAAGATGAAACACTACACAGTATACCTGTTCAGTCAGCTTCCTCTTAAGTGGAAAGAAATTCTTAAACTTGTCAAACTTTGTTTCCAGTGTTTGAGTGCCCTCTAGTGGCTGCTTTAATTGTCACAACCAACTGCTCGCAGCCGGAATTAAGAATGAGAAAGTGTGAGAAGTAACAGAAGAGAAGATGGCATCATCAGGAGCACCCAGCACAATTTCAAGTTACTCTGTGAACTTCTCATTATCCAAAGGAACTTAGTTCACAATATGCATAATTCAGAAGTTTCCCAGATAACACATGACACACTACTGCATTTTTTTAATAAGTATAATTTTTCCCAAGTTTCATTTCAAATTAATAAAACATCAGCAAACACCCAGAAAAGAACAGTACATGAATGAAGGACACCAGAACCTCAGGAATTAACACCCATCTCTCCCCTGTCAGTGGAGGCAGCATCGAGAATGCAATTGTTTAATAAGGAACAGCAACAGGAGTATTTTGAGAACACGAGGTACCCAGTCTCTGAAGGGAGGGAAGCACAGGCTAATGAACAATCTGAGTGCACACAGAGACAAGGACGCTTCCAGAACTGCCCCACCAAACACTCTCGGCGGCGGCAGCAACAGCAATTGCCAGGGGGACAAGCCACAGGCATGGAGCCAGGGGGGTGAGCTGACACATCACTTGGGGTGACTGACAGGTCCCCAGTTACTGCAGAGGCCTTCTGCCCAAACCCACGGGAATTCCTACAGCAGCACAATATACTATCTGCAGTCACAACCACATGGAGCCTCAAGCACAAGGACACCACGGGGGACACCAGATTCTGCGACAAGGCACCCCTCACCTCCACACCTTCCATGACTTCTACCTACATCCGCCTCTCCTTCATGATGTCCAGCATCAAGAGGGAGCTGACCCTCTGAACAAGAACCTTCATAGCCCCTGGACATTTCTGAATCTGTAGATCAATCTTTCCCCAGGAAATGTCCCTACTGATGTCTAGGACAACGGCCCATGACCAGGAGACTCATTCAGGCTTGCTGCTCAAATCTGGGGTTCATTATTCACAATGCTACTTAGCATTGCATTGTGTGAATGTGACACACTTTGTCCTTTCTACTGTTGATAAGTATACCAGTTATTTCACACTTAGGGCTGTTACAAATAATGCTGGTAATATACATTATTGAACATGTCACTTGGTACACTGGGTTACAAGGTAGGGGATTCTGGCTTACAGAGTAAAGATGTCCTCAGTCCAGAGTGGCTGTGGCCAGTTACAGTCCCACCAGCAGCATACAAGCCTTCCTTCTGCTCAGTACTTTCACCAACATTTAGGATTGTGAGGCTTTTTCATTTTTGCCAATCTGGTGACTCTCTCGGTATTTCATTTTGGTTTTGATTTGTATTTCTCTAATGCCTCAGTACTTTTCATATTTAATTTTAGAACTTATATTGGCCAGACCTAGTTATTAAAGTCTGCCTTCAAATAGCACAGCAATCCGCCAATCTGTCAACACTTTGAAATCTATCCAGAAAGAAAGCATATATCCAGAATAAAATCATTTTTTACTGCATCTACCACTACGAACCTGGTCCAAGCCACCATCACCCCTCACCTGAACTACCACAGGCTCTTCTTAAAGTGGTCTCTCTTGAGTCTATCTTGCCCCTGTCCTTGTAACACAGTGATCCTCTTCAAACATAAGCCACATCGAGGCTCTCCTCTGCTCAAATTCCTCCAATCGCTTCCCATCTCATTCAGAATAAAGTCCCAATTCTGACCAGGGCTTACGACAAGGCTTGGGATGACGTAGCCCTTGGCTACCTCACTAACTTCATCTCCTGTGTCGTCCTCCTGAGTCTCCCTCTCGCTCAGTTCCAGCTACATAACCTCCGTGTTGTTCGTGGAAACATGCCAACCACTCTTCCATCGCCAATCCTTTGCACCTGCTGTTCACCCTTCCCCCAACTGAGGGAAGCATTCCCCCGATCCCTTTCAGGTCTCTGCTTGGATGTTCCTCTCCAAGGCTTTCCCTGACCAACCCATCTAAAATGGCGCCACCACCACCTCATCCTCCCCAAACACCACTAGCCTACTTTTATCTTTTTCATTGCATCTATCACCACCTAACACTATATTTCTGCTCGCTCGCTCTCTCTTTCCTCACACGCTCTCCTTTTCCTGCACATAACACACTGCCATGCCCATAAGAGATACTCAATAAATGTTCAATTAGTAAAAGAACAACAATGATTTGTCTTGTCCTTTCCTACTCTTCTCTCCCCCTTCCAGATCTTCTAAACCAATGTAGAATTTACTTCCATGCTACCATTATTTTTTTCACAGTATATACATTCTTTTTCAAGAATCCCTTTTTTCCAGGTTACACATCACATTAACAGCTATTATTTGGATTTAAATGTTAATGGATTCATTGTTTATGTGTCCTTCTCTACCTGAAAATTTGGTTATAGGCAGCTATATGTTGGTGAAAGACTGAGTCTCTGAGTCTCTGAATTTCTGAAAAAGTCTTCCTTTTGTCCTCACAAGCAGGCAATAAGATGGCTGCACAGAGAAATTTAAGGTCACACGATCCCTTAAGTGTTGTTCTATTCCTATTGTTTTCCATATCTTCAGCTTGTAGTGTTACAAATAAATTATATGCAAGTCTAATTCGCTTTTGTTTGTTTATAACCTGAATTTTGGTTTTCTTTTTCTCTTTGTAATTACAAATTTCACCAGGATAGGTCTAAATGTGCATCTTTTTTCAATATCTTGCCTGACATTTGGTGAAACCTTTCATCTAAAGATTGATTCTTTCTTCAGCTCAGGGTGAAATTTTCTTCTATTATTTCTTTCATGAATGTTTGCTTTGATCTCTCCTTGAAATCCCATTATGTTTATCTTAGACAAGTCCGATAGAAATACAATTCAAGCCACAAAGGTAATTTAAAATTTTCCAGGAGCCACAGCAAAAAATAAAAAGTGAAATTAATTGTAATAATGTATTTATCCAAATATATCCAAAATATTGTCATTTGAAAATGTAATCTATAAAAAATTTACAGGTGAGATGCTTCCCCCACCCCCACCCCCCTGTTGAGTCTTCAAAATCTGGTATTCAGCTCATCTCAATTCAGACTACCTGCTTTTCAAAGGCCCAATAGTCATTTTGGGCTAGTGTCTGCCATACTGGACAGCAGAACAGATCTTCTGGAACTCTCTTCCATTCTTTTTTAGTTAATAATTTTTAACCTTTCTCTTTTCCTTCTGAATCCTAAAAGAATTCATCCAGCTGATCTTCAAATCCACTAACTCAGCTTCCTAAAGTATTCACCCTACTCATCATGGCACCTACTGAACATTTTAATTCAACAGTCATATTTTACATCTTCAGGGGCTCACTCTTCATGGCACACTGCTCCTGAGCACTGACTGCCTGTTTTGATTACCTAGGAATGCCCTCTAGAATGTCAGGACTTTGTCTTAGAATTTTCTTTAACTTCTCTTCCATCTCCTACAGTACCACTCTGTTTCACTGGAAACTCTTCCTCTGAGTCATCGGAAGAAGCCCCCCACTTATGAGCTAAAAGCCTCTCTGCTTAGTGATACCACCCTAATCTGCTTGGTCTTAAAAAGAAAAATCAAACTTATGCATCTCTGATAGCCAAGTTGGGTACCATCAGGGGTTGCATAGGTCACAATTCATTCTTCTTGGTCCCATAAAAACAAGAAAAAGGTTAGACTTAGGGACATTTCCTGTAGATCTCCGCAGAGATCTCACAGTTTCCAGGAAATAGGGAAGGAATTAAAAGCAAAGGAAATGCAGGGACCTTAAATTAACTGTCCGTTCATGTCCACTCAGACCAGGGCTAACTGGGATGCCATCCCAGCAAATGGCTGAGGTACTGGACAGCAAAGTTACAGAACATTTTCCATCGCTACAGAAAGTTCTATTGGACAATACTTGGCTAAACAATTCCTCCTAAAGCCCCAAATACCACACCACCAGGTTCTGGCTCTATAAAAATCCCCTCTTCTTCCCACTTCCTTCTCCCCACTTTCTCCTTCCTTCAAGAGTTATTGCCCTTGCCCTTAAAAGCCTTGGTTCTCTTCGCCTATTTCGACGCTTGACACTCCCCTAGTCCAAAGGATAAAGGATGCTCAAAAAGGCAGTTCAATGGTAGCATTCACTTGATGGAACTTAGATTTACTAATTAACAAAGAAACACTTCCCAGTATCAGTACTTGAAATAAATGCCTGATATTTCAAAATACCTTTCAAATATGCATGGCCATTAAATACTGGCATTGTTGTCAGAAATAACTGACAACTGGTGAGGATGAAAACACTAAATTCAGGGTGAAAAGGATTTTAATCAGAATTGTGAGCTGTGTTTCAACTAGGAAATAAATTAGGTATAATAAAATGTTGGGTAGACGACAAGAAAACTAGTAATGAAATAAGGGTTATCCAAAAATTCTTGAAATAATGATGAATAGAGCCCACAAGCCTTTTAACTCCACCATATCACCTTTAATAACAGAATAGGTTGTAAATTTGTGGCTGTGTTTACGCCTAAGGGTCTACTGAGGTTATTTTATAATTGCCACAACTGCACAAAGAAAACTTAAGTGAAGGTCAATGAAAGCTGCGTGTTCTAAATTACAAATCAGGAACAACCTTTTTTTGTCATTCATAACATTCCAGGCATAAAAGAGAATTACCTCAGTAACAGGTGTATTTTCCTGGAGCTCAGTTGTGTGCGAGGCCAGTAAACCAATCACCCGAGCAACCTTGGCCCGTCTGTAAATGGAGAAAAATAAGCTCTGAAGAGGAGAGTTAGAGACCCAAGTAGCCAACCCTAGTTAGTTATGTTTCACAATTATGAGCATTAAGATAAGATAAAAATGGGGTGAGCATTCACTCCTCCACGTATATGGCCCTTGTGTACATGAAGAGACAAGAACAGCAATGCCCTCTGCAGGACCGTCTGTAATAGTGACTCAAGTTGAACAAGGTGGGCTTTCGTAGTAAAATACAAAATAAAATTTTTGAAAGGCCTTAACCAGAGAGGAGAAAAAAACGTAATTAACCCTTTTACTTCTGAGTACAGCAGTATTTGGCAAAGGTTATGTCCTACTTATTAGTAGACCAAGGATTTTATATATAAGTGGTAAAAAAATATCAGAACAGTTAAACATATTTATATATCCACTTTTATAGAAATTTTTACAATCCTAGATCTTACAAATATTGTTCCAAAAACTACTAGTTTTAGTGAGGTGTTTCTGTATCATTATCCAACAGAAAATAAGGTCAATAAATTATTAAATATCATTTACAGATGATTTGTTAAAGTTTAGTCGTAAGTTTTTTTTAACTGGAGAAAATAGTTGGACATGTGAGTTGATGACAACCGTATCTTTTTTTTTTTTTTTTGAGCACTGTATTCATATTGATGCTTGCATGTTCTCTGGACTAATTAGTGTGTACACCAGCCAGAGAGTCTCTAGCTTTTCAGGTTCTAAAATAAATAAAATAGTAGTAAAATAAACTACACAGGACCCATGGAGGGAAACAACTCCGAGAAGGACCACAGGAAAGTGCTGATGTTGTCAGAACTCTAACAGACAGACATAATTCTTATGGATTTCAACACTTCTTGAATTAGCCATTCAAATCTCTTAACATATACAAATTAAAGAAGTCCTAGGCATTTGTATGACTAGCATCCTGCCTCTAAATAAAAAACATTATACTGTTATTTAAATTTTAATTCCAGTGTACTTACCATGCAGTGTTTTATAAGTTTCAGGTGTACAATATAGTGATTCAACACTTCCATACAACACCCGGTGCACATCACAAGTACACTCCTTCATCCTCACCACCTATTTCACCCATCCCCCCCACCCACCTCCTCTCTGGTAACCATCAGTTTGTTCTCTATAGTTAAGAGTCTGTTTTTTGATTTGTTTGTTTCTTAAATTCCATATATGAGTGAAATCATATGGTTTTTGTCTTTCTCTGGCTGACTTATTTTGCTTAACATTATACTCTAGCTCCATCCATATTGTCACAAATGGCAAGATTCCATTCTTCTTTATGGCTGAATAGTATTGCATTATGTCTTCTTTATCCATTCATCTATCAATGGACACTTGGGCTGCTTCGACAGTTTGGCTACTGTAAATAATTCTGCAAAATACACACGGGTGCATGTATCCCTTTGAATTAGTGTTTTTGTATTCTCTGGTAAATAGTAGTGTAATTATTGGATCATAGGGTAGTTCTATTTTTAATATTTTGAGGACCCTCCATACTGTTTTCCAGAGTGGCTGTACCAGCTTGCATTCCCACCAACAGTGTCGGAGGGTTCCCTTTTCTCCACATCCTCACCAGCACTTGTTTCTTGTTGATTTTAGCCATTCTGACAGGTGTGAGGTGGTATCTCCTTAGTTCTGATTTGCATTTCCCTGATCATCAGTGATGCTGAACATCTTTTCATGTGTCTGTTGGTCATCCCAATGTCTTCTTCAGAGAAATGTCTGTCCATGTCTTCTGCCATTTATTTGGATTATTTGTTTTCTGGGTGTTGAGTTATATAAATTTTATTGGTAGGTCATTTGCAAATATCTTCTATTCCATAGGTTGCCTTTTAGTTTTGTTTCCTTCACTGTGCAGAAGCTTTTATTTTGATGTAATCCCCATAGTTTATTTTTTATTTTATTTCCCTTGCCTCAGGTGACATATCTAGAAAAATGTTGCTACGGTTGATGTCAGATACATCAATGCCTGTCCTCACTTCTAGGATTGTTATGGTTTCAGGTCTCACATTTAAGCCCTTAATCCATTTTGAGCTTATTTTTGTATTTGGTGTAAGAAAGTGGTCCAGTTTCATTGTTTGGCATGTGGCTGCCCAGTTTTCCCAACACCATGTGTTGAAGAGACTGTCTTAAAAAGATTATACTTTAAAAGTGATCATTTTGAAAAAGATTTGGTAGGGCATTGGACCAAAAGTTACAAGAAAAAGCATCTACTCACTGCTCTGCCACTGACCCATTTTGTGACCACAGCCAAGTCAATTATCCTTCAATTTCCACATGTGTGGGATATCCCCAAAAGGGATAGATGGATTAACTTCTAAATTTTTTTACAATGAGAACTGGGTGTTATACGCAACTAATGAATCACTGAATACATCAAAACTAATGATGTACTATATACTGGCTAACTGAACATAAAAAAATAAAAATACATTATCAAAAACTGACTACTGAATTAAGGGGATGCAAAGCAAAAACTTACCTTGGTTCAAGGACAAGCCCAAAGTACTTACGAAACACTAACCTGTTTTTTCAATCTACAAAAGTAAATAACTAAAAGAACTAAAAGAAAAATGTATTACAACATGCTATTTTCCCCAACCTCGCCAGAAACGATCCTATCAGAACAAAAGATAAAACTAAGAATTTTAAGATCGTGTGTTAAGTTATAAACTATTTAAAGTAATAAAAACATTTTTCAGTTTATACCAAATACTTACATACAACTATATCCTATATACGATGTGATCCTATATATCAAAAAATGGACTTCTTCTCATAATCCGCTTTCTTCTTAAATGCCACCACTTTGGATGCCCCTAGTGTCCCGTTACACTGTATCTCAGAAGTGTCCCCATATTCACATTATCCAAAATTGTACTGGCAAATAATCTTCATGCAAGGACAGATTATGTTCCATATCTTCATTGTTCAAAAGAGTATCCATTGGTTACATGTGACTATTGAGCACTTAAAATATAGCTGGTACAAGTGAAGAACTAATTTTTTGTGGAATTACTTTTTTTTTTTTTTTAAAGATTTTTTTTTTTTTTTTTTTTTTTGAGAGAGAGAGAGCACATGAGAGGGGGGAGGGTCAGAGGGAGAAGCAGACTCCCTGCCGAGCAGGGAGCCCGATGCGGGACTCGATCCAGGGACTCCGGGATCATGACCTGAGCCGAAGGCAGTCGCTTAACCAACTGAGCCACCCAGGCACCCTGGAATTACTTTTAAATTTAAATTTTAATAACCAGGGCGCCTGGGTGGCTCAGTCGTTAAGCGTCTGCCTTCGGCTTAGGTCATGATCCCAGGGTCCTGGGATCGAGTCCCACATCAGGCTCCCTGCTCGGCAGGAAGCCTGCTTCTCCCTCTCCCACTCCCCCTGCTTGTGTTCCTGCTCTCGCTATCTCTCTGTCAAATAAATAAATAAAATCTTTAAAAAAAAAAAATTTAATAACCACATATGGCTAGTGGCTACCACATTACACAGAGTAGATCTAAAATGTAGTTCCTTCTTCATGTATTTACTTGTTTATTATCTGTGTCCCCCACCAGCCTAGAAGGCCGTGAATGCAAGGCTTGGTACTGCTCACCAGTGCCAACACCAAGACAGTCCCTTGCATCAAGAAGGCCCTCAATAAATGTTTGTTGAATGAATAGAACATCGACATCAAATATAAGGTAACTAAACATATTAATAGGAAAGGAGTGAATATACGACTGCACAAGATAAACAAAAGTGAACAGGGTTTTCAATATAAATCTCAAAAAAAATTTAAGGCTAACATCACTAAATGAGAAAAAGATTCCTTGTAAACTAAAAGTAATATAACCTACAAAGGGTATTGTTATACACCATGTAACAAAGAACACCCAAGAGTAATGGGAAACTTCAACCTTCTTCTCTTCCAAGCACAGCAAGGAGGCTACAGTGAATACATGTGTACAAGCAGTCATAATAAAACTAGCAAGGTCAAAGTAACAGAAGTATATACCAAACTTACTACAATCTACAGTGACCACACTTACTCAGTGAGAGGTGGGACAGGGCAGTATTTATTACTCTGGAATGAAATGTCCTGGGCCCAGCCTTGTCCCCCCAACGAAGGGGAGGAAAGAGGGGGGGAAGGGGGGAGGGGGGGTACTCATCCTTCATGTGCCTGGTTACTTTTATGTTAAATAGGATTGACTACATACAATATGTACCTCAAGTTGTTCAAAGAATCAAAAGAGATAATCCACGTGAAGAAATTACCATGTTGTCCGACATCTAATATGTGCTGTATGGGCTAGCTACTATTACCACATCACTTACTACATTAATAACATTTTTAAAAATGATTTCGTATTGGGCGCCTGGGTGACTCAGTCAGTTAAGCATCTGCCTTTGGCTCAGGTCATGATCCCGGGGTCCTGGGATCGAGTTCCACATCGGGCTCCCTGCTCTGCGGGGAGCCTGCTTCTCTCTCTCCTCCCCACTTGTGCTCTCTCTCTCTCTCTCTCTCTCTCAAATAAATAAATAAAATATATTTTAAAAAAAAGATTTCGTATTAGACCTCAAAGATAAACGCACAGAATCCTCAAAAGCTGAAATTCTATAGAACATATTATGTTATAAAAGTGAAATAGCAAATATAAAGCAAAAAAAACAAAAAACCTAAACATTTGTAAATTCAGAAGCACTTCTGTATATCTTATGTGTCAAATGAAAACTGAAAATGTCCACCAGGCACAATCACAATCAACACAAAAGCACAAGTTGAAACTTAGACGTTTTTCTGCTTTACATAGAAGACTGGACACTGACACCCACCTTTCTGTTCTGTCAAGAGTCTGCTAAAAGAAAACATAATTTATAATTAAATGATAAATGAAAACAGAAAGAAGGGCTGACAGTAGACCAAAATGTTTGAGGAAATCCCAGATGACAAGCATAGAGGAAATCATATTGACAGAAAATGAACAGAAGAAATCCCTAAG